TTTTGCAAATATTCAAAATTATGATAAGCATAAAGTTAAATAAATTATCAAACATTCATTGGTGTACAAATTTTAATTTGTCACTCTTGACATCAAATTTCAATTTTAAATAATCATATAGTGTCGATTGAAATTTAGAATTGGTGGAGTTCAAAATCAATGGCTGAATATTATCGTTTTTGGAATTTAGTGGTATATGAATGGCTTTATGCTTATATTTACAAAGATATTTCACAGGTTATTTATAATTTAGTAATTAGAAAAGAAGAAAGCAAATTTTACTTACGAATGGATAATCAGCAACTGTACGACATGAAAGTAAAGAAATAAATTATATGGAACTGTTTTTAAATTTAAAATTTTAACCGATCCATTTTTACAGCTGGTTGGTGGAAAGAAAGGTCTTTTCGCTGCTCAAACAATGGTATTTTTCTTTTCATCCTTATTTCATGAGTACTGGTTTGGATTGGCTTTGAGAATGTTCTATCCTATCATATTCACCTTGTATTTCATTTTCGGAGGTAATTGACCTAAAAATTTCAAGATTTAAGAGATGAAAAATTTCCTTGATCCGTCATCATCATCATCATCATCAACATCATTATGTTTCATTAAAAAGGATCTGAATTAAAAGTTTTGCACGACATTCAGATCTTTTTTAACAATTGTAAAAATGATTTGAAAAATGAAAAATATCATTCAAAACTACTAAAATAAAAATTACTAAATGAGACAATTTGGAAATGTCGAAAAAGTTCTAAAATAATGTAATTAATTTTAAAATATTAAAATAAATTATCAATATTCAATAGGAAGAGGGAAAATGATAGAAAAATATTATTATTAAAAGAAAAATTAGGCCAATTGAATGATAATTTCAGGAATTTTCTATTTCATATCACAATTTATCACTTCCAAAAGGATATGGAATATAGCAATGTATACGAGTTTATTAATTGGTACTGGAATGTTTGTATCGTTGTACAGCCAAGAATGGTATGCAAGACAACGATGTCTTCCATATTTTCAAAATTCTCTCCTTGATTTTTTCATACCACGACATTGGTTTTGTCGAGAATTAAAAGATACATAAAAATTTATCACTTATTTGATTAAAAATATGAGAAAGAAAAACAAATTAAAATGTGATATTCTTTTATCAATTTCAACAAAAAAAAAATTTCAACAAATAAAAATTTCAACAAATAAAAATAGAAAGAGACTTATTGAAGTCAATAATTTATTAATTTTGTTATAATTTGAAATGTATGAAAATTATACGGTATTTACGGTTTTGTAATATTTAAAATTAAATTTAGCATCAATTTTCCACGTTCACTTATTTAAAAGCATTTCCGGCACATTGTAATTTTTATTTTTAAGTTGGAACATAAAATCCTTTTAACTTCAATTTTAAATGTTCTCCTTATCACCGAATGAATACGATTTTAATTATTTCAATAAATATTAGAAAATGATAATGAATTCATAATGCTATGTAAGTGTTAGTTCAACGATAATTTATTAAATGAGAATTTCAATCATATAGAATTAATTACTGAATTGAATTAGATCAGCAAAAAGCTTCGATTTAATTCGCTGATTTCAATATTTTCAAATCACAACTGCTTGATGGCAGTGCAAAATTGCTGATCAATTCGATAATTTCGTTTCATTTAAATAAACTATTTAATAATTTATTATGCAAAATTACAAGCTATAAGTAAAACGCAATGTTATTGTGCTATTTTTAAACCAATTAATTAGCGGAAACTTTTTCGCTAATCACTAAAATACTAAAAAAACGTTTGCAACATGAAAATTGTACAGTAGAGAGTGAAAATTTGCTCGATATTTCAAAAATTTTTCTAAGAATCAAACATGAATTAATTCAAAAGAGGTTTAAAGTATGAGAAAACATTTTACGTGTGTATTTGATATTGCGAACAGCAAAGTTTAACTTGAAAGTTTCATTTAAACAAAATAGAGTTTCATCAATCGTTTCAATGATTTCACGGTATGTCATTACGTTTAACACGCATATGTACTTCCGTATGTATTTTCGGTAATTAATTTTTCCATCATATTATTACTTCCAATCATTTTATTTTCACTTACAATTTTATCGAACTTTTTCACACTTTTTCCATGAATTTTAATTATAATTTTGCATAATTTGCAATCATTAAAAGAAATTTTTACTATCGAAAGAAATATAATATTTGGCGAATAAATGAAAAATCAGTTTTTTTCAAAAAATTTAAGTTCATCATTTTTTTTTTTTTTGTTCTTATCTCTTCCGAAATATTAATTTTTCCTGATCTCCTGAATGTTCACAAATAACAATTTACTTTTCCATATAATTTTTTTATTTTCTTTCTTTTCTTGTTGGTTATTTTACATAAAAGAGATGAAAATTTATAAAAATATTAATCATTATTACAATTAGTCGAAAACATAAAAACAGTCGTCTCAAACGGATGCTATTTGTAGTAAAAAAATAAAAATAAAAAATCCGTTATCAAAAATGCAGAACGATATTTTTGCAGTAATCATTCCGATTGATCCAACCGTAAGTTTTTTTTTTTTTTTAAAAAAAAAGACAATTGATGAGTTGAAACATTTAATTATCGCATCTTTTTTTTTAATGATTTTATATTTTTATTGCTTAACAGAGAAAGAAAACGATTGAATAAAATTTTTGCTTCCTTTTTCCATTTTCGATTAATGATTACTTGAATGAGCGGAAGAAAAAAAAAACAAAGTAATAGCAGAGAATGCAAATATCCGGTTATGTACACGAGAATAAATTATCCATCTAAAATTTAAATTTGTTGGCAGATGTTGGCGTGTGCTGTGATTATTGTGGCGATAGCGTTGATTGTAGAACTCATTACACATCTCTGTAAATTAAGAATTGTAATTTTAAAAGAACGAAAAAGGAAAATTGCCGAAATACCATTTCTTTTGAGTGATTTTAATAATCTTGAAAAGGTATCCGAATTTTTCGATAGCAGCTTTTCTTTTAATTTCAAACTTAAAAAATAATTATTAATAAATATATTATTAATTAATAAGTGTTTTTTAGAATGCAGTTTATCGTCGTACAATTTAACCTGCTATTTGGAAATGTAATAACGATAAGTGATAATTATCTGTATAAGTTAATGTGATAATGATATGTATAAACAATCTTCCGTTCATTTCTTTGGATGATAGGGTCAATACTGATTTGATTAAGAACAAATGAATGAAAGGTGAAAGAAAAAAAAAGCAGGATATTTTCTATCTAATTTTCCTTCTTTTTTTTCTCACTCAATTTTAAAGTGATGTGATAATTAGGGTGAATAAATTTAACAATCATTAGTATATACTTATCTTTTTCTCATTTTTTTGTATCTTTTTTAAATTTTACTTCAAATTATTCAATCAAAAAAAAAAAATTGCATAAACTTCGAATACAATATACTATTTATCTTTTGCGAAGAATTGTTGTTATCAGTTGCGTGATATCAGTTGGCTTCCAAAATTTCAAACAAAATTCGTGGCATTATGAACAAGTGACAAACGAGGATAACCGAGGAATTTATGAAAAAATTATTGTTAAAATGTCTTTTTTTTTAACGAGATTAATTATCGCGTTTGTTCATCAAACAAATATACATGTCTGATAATGTAAAACAAAATTCAAATTTCAAAATTCAAAATTCAAAATTCAAAATTCAAATACTTTTTTTTATTGGAATTTCTTATTTTGCTTCATTTTACTTGCTGATATGTCCCTGTTTGTTAAAATAATTAATAATGATAAGAGGTATATCCTTGTTAAAAAATACATTCATTGATAATAATAAAATTAAAAGTGCAAATTAATAGAAGGAGTAAATGAATGATTTTCAACAAAATACGAAATTGTAAAAATATTTTTTTAAAAATATTTTTAATTTTCACCAAAAAAAAAACCAATCCTTCTCAACAATTAAATGAATGAATATTACTTTAGCTATTATTAATGATATATTCATTAATGAGAAATGCATACAATCATAGTGAATTGTTGTAAGTTTCAAAATATAAGTGAATAAAAAATCGATCAAATGAATTTACAGGATATCTCATTGGGAGTTATCACGATGGTGAAGTGATTGAAAGGCGGTAAATCGATGTTAGGATGAAGAAGAAGAAGAAGAAGAAGAAGAAGAGAGAGAGAGAAAGGAAGAATTAAACGAAAAGAGTGGCAAATTTTCAGAGAAACAAAAATTTTTACCCATAAAATTTTGAACAAAAGACGAAAGAAAAGGATGTGACAATCCTTAAAGAAAAGGATGGAAAAATTTTTGAAATCAACTTTAGAAACTCGTCAATGCATTCTTCTTCCTTATCCGTCCACTTTTTCAACATTTCACTATTTTACCCAATAATCCCGAACCGAACGAACAATCAGCATTTTATTAACATCATTGACCACTACAATTCATTACTTCCTTAGTCATCGTCATTATTAACATTTAATGATACTAAAATTGTGATCATTTCCTTTCTCTCTCTCTCTCTCTCTCTCTCTCCCTCCTCCTTCTCCTCCTTCTTCTCCTTCTCCTCTTCACCCTATCAAATAAAACAATTTCATTTTTTTCTTCTCTTTTTTTTTTACTTCAAATTTTTAAATTCTTAATAAAATTTAAATCTGTAATTTATTTGATTTCTATTACTTCTTTTGCGATTATTTATGATTTGATATTTTTGTGCAATGCGATACAGTTTAGCAAGAAAGTTTACCAATTTAGCAATTGATCAGTTTGATTGATCAACTGAAATTATTAGCAAAACCAAATGAATGCTAGTAATTTGATGTGAATGGAAAATTTTTATTAATTTAAAAATATCAATTACTCAAAATTGAAGAGCGCTTTTGTGACAATTTGTAATTATTTGTCAACGAATGATTTAAATTTCGCAATTATCATTTATGTATTTTTAATCGAAAATTTAAATTTCAGGGTATGAAACAATTAGAAGATTGTAGCAAAAAATTTGAGGATCTCTTCATCAAATGTTTTTATTATCATGGACAATTGGTGGGTCGCTATCCGAAACGATTTCTGATCGGTTCATTGCTATTAACAATAATTGGCATGACAGGATTACCGGCGCTACAAATTAATTTAGATCTTTACAAATTATTTGTTCCATCGGATGCACCAGTACGAGAGGAATTTGAGAAGTTTTTTTTTTTTTTTTTTTCTCCGCTTAATTTAATTTAATCATTTCTTTATCTAAAAATGATACAAATATCTGGCTAAAAAACTTTCATCATTGCGAAATTTTTTTATTTTTTTTTTTTAAAAAAGATGTTGAAATTAGTCTAATAATTGAAAAAAGCAAACAGAGCTAAAAATTACAAAATTCTGAAAATGATTAAAAATTTTACGAGCAAAAAATTCATTTTATCAGTTTAAACCTTTCTAAAAGATTAAATTTGAAAAAAAAAGCAACAATGAAAATTGATCAATTCATTTCAGTGATGCTTTATTGATTTTCAAAAAACGCTACCTTGATTTTTTCTTCCTTTTTTTTTTTGATTTTGCTTTATTTTGAAAATTTAACAATGATTTTGAAGACTTTTGCTAATTATTTAGATCAACAGCTTTTAATAAAATGCCATTGGGCATTTTGGATCCCGAGAACGCTAATCGAGGTAAACGGCAAGTTGAAATTCTCAACGGTTTGTTTTTTTTTTTTTCGAAGAACAATTTGTTTTCAAGTTTTTTAACAATTATAAAATTGATAAAATATTACATTATTGGTAATAACACACTTTTCTAATCAAATTTAAGAAATTTAACAAAATGATAACCATACACTTTCTCATTCCATTTTATATTTTGCTATTACTTTTTGCATAATTCTTTGCAAAAAAAAACAAAAACAACGTTGAAAAGTGAAATTTGAATTTTGTTTTACATTATCATTGATTGTTACAATTACAAAAATCTGATCATTTAACAATTTCCTTCCATCATATTGTAAACATATTAAAAATTTATCCTAAAATTATCATTGCTTTTCGCATTTTAATTTTTTAAACTTACCAATCTCAATTTCTGTGATTTCAGATTCTCCATTCTTGTTGAGATTCTTATCAATTTCAACTTTTATGATTTCGAATTCCATTCATGTTAAACTTAGTAATTCCAATTTTTGAGATTTCAGATCCAATTCATATTGATGTTATTCGATTTTATGCAATTCATGAAGAAAATTCAAATTTATTAGAATCACGCATATTGCGCAGAATTTATCGTTATACCACTGAAATTATGAATATCACTGTTGAATTCAACGGCAAAATCTATCGATTTGAGGATTTCTGTCAGAAAGATTATAGGGAAGAGGTAAGTTTAAACGTTAATATTCCTATCAGTATTAAAAATATGCAAACTTTAATTTTCTACCATCACATTAATGCATTCCGTTTTTGATCATTATTATCACGCATATCAAAATTTTAAATATTTAATAATATATAAAGAAGAATGGACATATATTATTACTTTAATATCATTCTTTTTGTCAATTCAGAAATGCTCAAATGAATTAAATGTTTGGCTAAAGCATGCAGAAATACTCTTTCAAGATGGTAAAGTGAATTCCAATCCAAATTTGCAACTTTCATATCCGGTTATGTATTTATTCAATCGACCGAAAGATATTGGTCAGGTAAATGAATTATGGAAAAAAAAAATTTGTCACATATGAAAATTTTGAATTTTACAATAATTTTTCAAAAGATATTTTAGGTAATTTATGGAGTAAATGTGACAGGTCGAAAACGTGAAATAAGTAGTGCTAAAGTGGTTACTGTTCATTGGTATATCAATTTCGAGAGTTCAGCTGAAAAAGAAAGAGCATATGCGGCTTTTCGTAGAGAGTTAAATAAATTTTGGCTTTCCAAAAGGAATGAATCAAGGCTTAAATTCATTGCACATAAGTGAGCCATTTTCTTGTCTCTTTTCTGTTTAGTGTGCTTTCTCATTTTCTATTTCTTTTTAAACGAGTATTTTTCATTTCTTATTTAAATTTTCTCATTAAACAAGTATTTTTCATTTTTTATTCAAATTTTTTCATCATTTTATTTTATCGAAATATTTTACTTAACGCAGTAAATCGATTTTACTCATTTCTACAGTAAACTTCATCGCATTCAGTGTTTAATATAATGTTTGATTTTTAATTTATCTCAATTAATATTAATAAAACGATCACTTATTTGATTATTTTATTATTAACATTGTAATTTCAATTATACCTGTAGTACCATCTGATGGCAAATTTTTCTATTAGAATTTTTACAAAAGTATGAAATTACCTTTTGTATATATGTATTATTAAACAATTGTGACATTTTAAAATTATTAAAACTTTTTAGCGATAAAGCAATGAACGATGAAATGCTTTTAATTATCGAAGCAGCGCTACCATTTGCAGGAATTGTTTCGCTGCAATTAATGCTTTTCGTTATACTTTCAAATTATTCCAAAGATATTACCAAGTAACCATTTCATTTTTTAACTTAGCAAGCACTTATAATTTAACTTTGATAAGCAAAAATGGATTTTACACCTTTTTATGCTGCCTATGCTAGCAAATATCTTTCTTATTTGACAATTATTAAGTCTATGATAAATCAAATTTCACTCCAATTTGATATAATATGTTTATCGTTAAAGATATTCTGATATTTATTATTAAGTATATTCTATTCCATTCTTAAAATGGTAAAATCTCTGGTATTATCATTTATTGAAATATGCAGTTATCGATTTTAACTGATAATATTTCGATTTACTTC